GGAATTGGTCTGGGATACGAAGGTCAGCAATATCGTTAAGGCTATTGAAGAATGGGTAAATATGCATTTTGTTTTTATGATATCGCTATTTCGTTAAGTATATCCAATATTCAATGCATTTTAAAATTAGGTGTAGGAAAAGACCAAATCAACAGTGGCAAAGTAGAACGCTTTCTAAGAAGCATTACAGTGGGGGAAAAATTAAGCCAACTAAATAATAAAATAGAAGCTAAGAAAATAAAAAACAACAGAACTTATCGTATCAAAGAATGGCACATAGCATTAAACAAAGTGATTGGGATGAAAGTTTCGTACCAGTAATAAGCAAAATTGTCAACATGAATAGATGTTTGTGGTCCAATAATGAGGACGCAATATCAATTTAATATAGGTAAAATACAGGATTTTAACAATTAATTCAGGAAAATATTAGAGAAAGAATACTGTGCCCACCGGAGTCTACCAGATGCTGCTCCTGAGGAAACCTCAATCGAGCGCGAGATGAAATATTTCGCAGGGCTAGACAAAAGGATAAATTCACATAGCGCATGACAGAACGCCGCATGCATATGGCTCTTTCGTTTGTACCGTGGAAGAATGCAGTTAAACTAAAGGCTATTTCGTCTGGCCATGGCAAAGACATAAACTGGTCCCACCACCTCCCAACCACCAAAGTAACGTAAAAGCCAAGAACAAAGGCCACAGGTACCTTTTCATTAAGCCTCCCGCAATATATACACAACTTCTCAAAAATTCTATCAATAGAAGTTACATGAGCTTACTCTTTCGAATAATCGGCTAGTACAAAACGGTATAAAAGTGAAAGGGACGTGTATAAACAAGAGAACAAAACAAATTCAAGCCATATTAGCCCATAAACACTGCCTTTCCACCTAGAGCTATATTTTTTGTGTAAAATTACATAAATAAAATCCTCAAAAAAGCCAGCCTTTTGGCCGTTGCCACTTTTGAGGAGTATGAAACCGTCATTGAGAGTAAGGTTACACAGCCGTAAGAAGCTCTGCCCGCAAATAAATTAATCATGATTCAGTAAATCCTCACGTCAAATTTAACTAACTATTTTTATGGGTATTTTTTATTATTTTAAATATATTTACACTTATAGTCTGAATTTTGGTAATATTATTTACTCATATTGGCGCGCTTTATTATCCCGCTGCGACCCTCCCTCTGTCCCGCCTTATCCCAACAATGTCATCTGATTCTCCACTTTCCCAGCTATCAAATATTAAAGTAAGTTTCACCCTTTATCTCTCCTTGAATTATCTTGTCAGTTTTAATTATCAATATGAATTAGAATCATTTTTTTTAATGAAATATAATATATTCTCTCTTCCTTTGGCATTCGTGAATAGTTGGTATGATTTACATTACCTTATCATTCTACGATCAATTTTGCTTGTAGCAGATATATTTAATTGGTGTTATCTATTTTTGCTCCTGTGATTTTCGTGAGAATCTGTATAACTAAACTTTCGGAATAAGAATTATTCATAAGTATAACTGATCGATGATAAATTGCAAACTTTGCTTACCTAAGGTATTTTTACTGATTCAAAGTCGTTAATTTAAAGATATTTTTATTTTAATACCTTTAGGTTACATATGCATCTTACTCTTTTTTGTACTTAACTTTGAGTTTGAAATGTATATTTAAGCACAATATTACTGCTCTCTTCTTCCTATTTTGTTTACGAAGTCTCTTCATAATATACTGTCATATCTCACATTAACATTCATTTTCTTCTATCTGCCACATAAGTCACTCCACTTTTTACGATTGACAAATAAGGCTACTCATTTATTCATATTATATTCTTTAAA